ACTTCAACATAATAAAGGCCATATATGACAAACACACAGCCAACATCATTCTCAATGGTGAAAAACTGACACCATTTCCTCTAAGATCAGGGACAAGACAAGGTTGCCCACTCTCACCACTATTATTCAACATAGTATTGGAAGTTTTAGCCACAGCAATCAGAGAAGAAAAAGAAATAAAAGGAATCCAAATCGGAAAAGAAGAAGTAAACTGTCACTGTTTGCAGATGACATGAGAACCCTAAAGATGCTACCAGAAAACTACTAGATCTAATCAATGACTTTGGTAAAGTAGCAGGATACAAAATTAATGCACAGAAATCCCTTGCATGCCTATACACTAATGATGAAAAATCTGAAAGAGAAATTAAGGAAACACTTGCATTTACCATTGCAACAAAAAGAATAAAATACCTAGCAATAAACCTACCTAAGGAGACAAAAGAGCTGTATGCAGAAAACTATAAGACACTGATGAAAGAAATTAAAGATAATACAAACAGATGGAGAGATAGACCATGCTCCTGGACTGGAAGAATCAACATTGAGAAAATGACTATACTACCCAAAGCAATCTACAGATTCAATGCAATCCCTATCAAACTACCAATGGCATTTTTCACAGAAGTAGAACAAAAAATTTCACAATTTGTATACAAACATAAAAGACCCCGAATACCCAAAGCAATCTTGAGAAAGAAAAACAGAGTTGGAGGAATCAGGCTCCTGGACTTCAGACTATACTACAAAGCTACAGTAATCAAGACAGTATGGTACTGACATGAAAACAGAAATATAGATCAATGGAACAGGATAGAAAGCACAGAGATAAACCCGTGCACATATGGTCACCTTATCTTTGATAAAAGAGGCAAGAATATACAGTGGAGGAAAGACAGCCTCTTCAATAAGCAGTGCTGGGAAAGCTGGACAGGTACATGTAAAAGTATGAAATTAGAACACTCCCTAACACCATACACAAAAATAAACTCCAAATGGATTAAAGACCTAAATGTAAGGCCAGACACTATAAAACTCTTAGAGGAAAACAAAGGCAGAACACTCTATAACATAAATCACAACAAGATCCCTTTTGACCCACCTCCTAGAGAAATGGAAATAAAAACAAAAGAAAACAAATGGGACCTAATGAAACTTAGAAGCTTTTGCAGAGCAAAGGAAACCATAAACAAGACAAAAACACAACCCTTAGCATGGGAGAAAATATTTGCAAATGAAGCAACTGACAAAGGATTAAGCTCCAAAATTTACAAGCAACTCATGCACCTCAATATCAAAAAAACAAACAACCCAATCCAAACATGGGCAGAAGACCTAAATAGACATTTCTCCAAAGAAGATATACAGATTGCCAACAAACACATGAAAGGATGTTCAACATCACTAATCATTAGAAAATGCAAATCACAACTACAATGAGGTATCACCTCACACCAGTCAGAATGACCATCATCAAAAAATCTACAAACAATGAATGCTGGAGAGGGTGTGGAGAAAAGAGAACCCTCTTGCACTGTTGGTGGGAATGTAAATTGATACAGCCACTATGGAGAACAGTATGGAGGTCCCTTAAAAACTAAAAATAGAACTACCATATGACCCAGCAATCCCACTACCTGGTATATACCCTGAGCAAACCATAATTCAAAAACAGTCATGTAGGGCTTCCCTGGTGGCGCAGTGGTTGAGAGTCCGCCTGCTGATGCAGGGGACACGGGTTCGTGCCCCGGTCTGGGAAGATCCCACATGCCGCAGAGCGGCTGGGCCCGTGAGCCATGTCCGCGGAGCCTGTGCGTCCGAAGCCTGTGCCCCGCAACGGGAGAGGCCACAACAGTGAGAGGCCCGCGTACCCCCCCCCCAAAAAAAGAGTCATGTACTACAATGTTCATTGCAGCTCTATTTACAATAGCCAGGACATGGAAACAACCTAAGTGTCCGTTGACAGATGAATGGATTAAGAAGATGTGGCACATATATACAATGGAATATTACTCAGCCACAAAAAGAAACGAAATTGAGTTTTTTGTAGTGAGGTGGATGGACCTGGAGTCTGTCATACAGAGTGAAGTAGTCAGAAAGAGAAAAACAAATACCATATGCTAACACATATATATGGAATCTAAAAAAAAAAAAGGTTCTGAAGAACCTTGGGGCAGGACAGGAATAAAGATGCAGACATAGAGAATGCTCTTGAGGACATGGGGAGGGGGAAGGGTAAGCTGGGACGAAGTGAGAGAGTGGCATGGTCATATATACATTACCAGATGTAAAATAGATAGCTAGTGGGAAGCAGCCACATAGCACAGGGAGATCAGCTCGGTGCTTTGTGACCACCTAGAGGGGTGGGATAGGGAGGATGGGAGGGAGATGCAAGAGGGAGGAGATATGGGGATATACGTATATGTATAGCTGATTCACTTTGTTATAAAGCAGCAACTAACACACCATTGTAAAGCAATTATACTCCATTAGAGATGTTAAAAAAAATGATTATCGACTGTACAACTTGTCTATTTTCCATTGTGTGAGTTTTGCCATAGTTCCTAGGAATTGATCAATTTGTAACCCTCTGTTCTTTGTGAATTTTGTACACACATTGCAACAAAATATGAATCTATATTTTGCTACATCTGTGTTCAGAAAGCTTACTTATCAATGTGAAAATTGCTGTCCCAGGATACCTGAAACTTTATAACACAAAATTCAGGCATGAAATAATTCCAAGTATTATTGTGTGACCAACATTTTCCCTTATTCTGCTTCAATGAATTGAAACATCTCTTACTAACAGGAACCTCAAGTGTTCTTGGTAAGGATCTAGATGATCTGCCACAAAAACCCCAGTGGACAGATAACTCGTCTACCTCAGCCCTATGCAACAGGTAGACCCAGAGTGACAGACACCAAAGACCACCAATGGAGTCTGAACAAGCTAGGAAAATGTGACTAAGGATTATTACATGGAAAACAACCCATGATATAAAAGAACTGCCTCTCTCCCTCCAGGATACACCCAACAATCCATGTTTCCATGAACTTAGATTTAGAAATGTTTTCTGCATATTGACTTCTTTAAACACGATTCCTACTCAAGAATCGTACACAGTCAAAAAATAATTTTGGGAGTTCTCTGAATTGATAATCACATCATCAGCATATTCCAACTTTAGATTCACGAAAACTTTTGCCAGTGATTTTATGATCCTTCATACTTGACTCAGTGGTTAGTCAGTGTACTGTCACTCACATCAGGGTTTCCAGATACCCATTAACTGGGATGTTGCTGTTGCTGCTATTGTATATGTATTTTATAATATAAAAAAAGAACACTTTTATACAATTTGCTAAGAATATTATGGAAGGAACTGATGCTCCATTTTATCAAATTATTGCCTCGATATAGGACATTTAAATTTAATCAGACATTTGATTCTGTGCTCATTGAGATGATCACATTTTTTGCATTCAGTCTCTTAATGTCAAGCCTTATATCTATTAACGTTGCCAACATTCAACCCAAGGTGCAATCCTAGACTATGACTTTCATAACTGATCTCTACCCCCTGCATACATGACTGAATTCCTTTCACTAACATTTAATTTATGATTTGGGCTTTGATAACCACAATAGATACATCTGGAATTTCACTCATTCTTCCTGCCTTTCTTGTGTGGTTCTGGTATCTATGTTATATTCATTGCATAAAGAAAGTTATGGAGTGCATCTCCTTCTTCTAAGACCATCTCCACAAGCATGGAATAATAGTTTTTCAGGATATTTTGAAGAGTGTACCAGAGAACTACGAGGTAGTTCTTGAGAATATTTTTCACTATTCTTCCTACTGATTGAAAAGTCATACAACTCTTTGAGATTTCTATATCTTCTTGTGTCAGTTTTCATACAGCTGGCCAGGATTTAGTCAAATTTCACAACTTTTCAAAGCTTCTATTTAAAAACACTCTCTAATATTCCCCAAATGCCACATTTTACAGGAATGCCTGGTCGGATCTGGGATATCTATAGACATCCATAAATCATCCTATGGTCGCACGGTCTCAAACAGTTACGGGTTGGCACCTAGGAGTCAATGTGGATTGGCAGCCCACCCCTACTCAGCATTAAGACTCTCTTCACACAAGATGAGTTACCTGATTTCTTAGACTGCCCATTCTTCCAGCCACAAGGCAGAGACACTCACTAACCTTTAGGAAAATGCAACGAAATAAAGACTGCTTTGCCAGTCAGAGTCTGCTGCTAGTACACTCACTCCTCATTAGCAAAGCAGAATGATGGGGCAGAAGCGAATTTTTCCTTTCCATTCCTAAATTCATCAAAATAAGGCCACGGGGAATACCGACCCACAACCTCCAAACAGTTTGAAGACAAAGACAAAATCCTACTGCATTTAAGAAGATCACCCTAAATAGCACAGGTCACTCTATACCATTCCTCCTTTTTTCTTCCCTTTACAAGATCGGGACAACAAAACTTGGGCCTATCTTCCGCTACCTAAAGGCAACGGGAGCTTCCCTATCCAGGAAAAGGGAGGAAGGGCATCCCAGAAACATGAATCTGATCATCAAAAGTTCACTCCTCAGATAATTCCAAGCTGGATTGTGTACCAGGATCTCCACTAATCCGGGATCAAGGAAGTTGAAACCCCATCTGACAAACTAAGACCCGGCATGAGCTGCCGGATGAGGACATGTGGTAGGTGTTATGAAAGATATACGATGAGAGGAAAGTCACATATCCCCAGGCCGACCTCAGACGCCATGCATCAGGGAGAGCCAGGAACAAGAGGAAGGCTCTGGCAGGTGCTAAGACACTGTGACTGGGCCTTCATGCATGGAAACAGGGGGACACAAAGGACCCTTCTTACTTCCACGCCCACCCTCTCCATCCAACCTCCCCCTGGCAAAAATGGCTATAAACGTGGGACGTGGAAGACTGGGAGGCTACAGGCAAGTGAACACCCGTCTGTCAGGCCGCAAGACCATCCCCTCATCACCTCCAAATACGCTAGCTCAGTATCCTCCTCCAGGGCTGACCTGTGACATCCAGGTGGAAGGAGACCCTCTGGCCCCCGGCCTCGCAGCTGTACTCCCCGGCGTCTGCCTTGCCCGCCTGCTGCACCACCAGCCGTCGCCCTCGGCCTGTGGCCTCCACACGCACTTTAGAGCTCAAACTCAGCTTCTTTCCATCCTTGTACCACGTCACCTCTGTCTGGGCCTGGGCCACCTCGCAGCTCAGCGTGGCACTGGACCCCGCCATGGCCTGCACTTCGCTGTGTGCTGGCTGCTCCTTGGCAAACACCTCCTTGGGCTCTGGGGACAGGGAGGGATACATGGGTCAAGGACACCATCTCAGTCAGGAAAGCAGCCCTCGGCAAAAGAGACCTGAGTGGGGAGCCGTGGGCCAGGCGGGTGCGAGGAGGGGTGCAGAGGTGGGGCCGGGGCCAAGCTGGAGACTTCTCCAGGCTCTGCACCAGCCGTGTGCCCTGCAGAAGTGCCCCTGCCTTTCTCAGCAACAAGTAACACAAGTGATGAATTCCCCCTGCGTCCGCGTGAGCTGGTCCGGGGTTTGGGGGGGTCGGGGGAGGGTGCGCTTTGGAAGAGACTTCTCCCCTGCTCATGGCTTCTGCGGGGTCACATGCAAGTGTTCCCAAACCTTCCCAGATGGGGCCACAGTCTTCTCCATACGCCTAAGCAGGGAACTTTGCACCTGCAGGCCATGGAAATCAGTGAGGCTCGGTGCTCTGCCCTACATTTAGTACGGTCAACTTGTGGAAATCTGGTGGGTGTGCTACCACCTCCCCATGGCTTTCTTTTCCATTGTCTGAGGTACAAAGAAGCTGAGCACCTTTCCGCGTACACTGGGGTCCCCATTACTCTTTTGTTCTTCCTGGTACAACTATTCAAATTTTTGCCCACTCACCAATAGTAGGCCCTCTCTTCTCTCCATTCATCTCTAGGCACTCTTTACGCATTGAAATACTAGAGAAGGACAGATTGCTAGCTTTCAAGGTTATTCCCAACTGTGGGACTCGCATTTTCACTATGTGATTGAGTCCTCCGATGATTCAAAGTTTTTCCCTTCAAGAGTGTCACCGATGTCCATTTCACGCTTTCGGTTTGGAGCATTTGTGTTCCATTTAAGAAATCTTCCCTTACCTTCGGTGTTAAGGAAACCACGGTATCGCTGGACTGTCTTTTGGTTTGTACCTTTCACACTGAGGTTTCTAACCCGCCACGAGTGTACTTTTGTGTGTGGTGTGAATTGTCAGTACAGTTTAATTTTTCCCAATGGGTCAGTGGTCCAAGCACTATTTATGAAGACAACATCCCTCCTCGACTTCTCGAGCACACAGCACAGCAACAGATGAAATTGAGGTGGCGGGGAGGGAGCTGGGAGGGGGGCGGAAGGGGGATTTGTCCCTGGTGGTGCAGAAAACGACTGCTGCAAGGAGTTCTTGCTGACCTCACTACTACGTTCCTCTGATGTGGTAAATATCGCCGCACTGGGATCCCCTTATCTTGAAAACTATATAGCCTCACAATCATTCCTGACAACGGCTCCCAGGAAGGGCTCCCACCGCGCTTCTGCAAGCAAATAGCATATTGGCTATACCTTGCCTTTGGAATCTGCCTGCTAGTCTACCATCCGACCACCCAAAACACAAATTTGCTTCGATTTTCATTGTTAATCAACATCTTTGATTTTTCTCCTCAGATTACTGCCCGTCCAAGGAAACCTCTGACTCTCTCTCAAGAATGTGTACTAATTTCCCCACATAGTCTGGTAGCAACTTTTATCAGACCTGGAATTAGGAACATGGTACAA